GAGCTGTTTGTTACCAAATGGTTTGAGAATGAAGGGTTATGTAAAACTGAATTAGAAGATTGGGAAAAGTTGATTTAAAAAAGTGATTTTGGGTTCTGAGAATCATAAGCATAGACATATATGTAAGAGAAAGAAAACAGATAGAGAAAAAAAAGGAGGAACCTGGAATGGGAATCGTCATTGATGGAAAACTCGGCCATGGCATCTGAGTTTGTGAGGAAGTGAGTGAATACCAGTGAAGCTGTGTGGATCAGCCAAATTCTGACAATGATAAGGGCGAAAAAATTATCAGTAATAATTGTTCCTCAAACACAATTTTTTACATTCATTTCATTTTTTACATCACAATATCTTTATTTTTTCTCTTTTTATAAATACAAAAAATTTACCTGTAATGATTATTATTATTATTCTTACAATTTAATATATATCATATAAATGTTTATGTCACTGCACCATTACTTAAATATTTTACCATTACTAAAATATTTTTAAAGGTTATTGGAATAGTTTCCTACTCCAAAATTGTTTACAGAAACTAATATTAAGAAACACAAGTCCAAGAACAAAATAATATATTTTAATGATTCTAAAAATGAATTGTATAAGATGTTTTCACCTTTTTTTATAAAAAAAATAATAAAATTATAATTATAAAAATAAATATAAATAATATTTAAAATTTAATGATAGATAGTTTTTATTAATTTTATAACTAAATTTTATTTATTTAATAGATAAATTTTATTTATTTACTTTTAAAAAATAATTAAATAAAAAACCATTAAATTAAATAAAATGATAATTAAAAAAAATAAACATAAAAAAATCTCTTTATATATAAATACATATGATAACTAAATTTAAATAAACAATGTTACAAAAATCTAAATATTTTTTAAAAAATATTGAAATAAATTGTGATTTTAAATTATTTAATAATTATGTATCACATACCATAAATTACACTATTAATGAAAAACTCTACCTAACTAATCAAAACAACATTGTTCCAATAGTGTAAGGTGTTTTCAAGCATCTACCAGTGTATCTATACCTGTAAGAAAATAACGTGAAATCCTTAAGGTCTTTTTTATGGTTTTTTTTGTTTTGTCATTTCATATTTTTCCATTCAGAAGTGGTTTATTTATATTTTAATGTTTTTGTTTTTTAAAAATATTCGTTCGTATCGCCTAATGTAATTCTGTAATGAGTTTTTCCGTCATTTTCAGCTGTTTTTACTATGTTGTTTTAAAAACTGAGGACAAAGATGGAAAGTGACGAAGTTGTCCTTTCTCTATTGTTCTGACGCTTTGATTCTGTGTTGGTTTAATTGTCTTTTTCTTTCTCTAAAAATGGGAAGTTACCAGATTAGCCTTCTTTATTATTTTCTTCTTTGTTTTTGTCTTAGTTTTATTGTCTTTTTGCTTATTTGATATTTTCTACATAAATATTCTTTGTTTTTGTTTTAGTTTTATTGTCTTTTGCTTATTTGATTTTTTTTCTCTATATTCATTGACGTAAATATTTGATAATTGAATTTCTTTTTTATTTTTTATTAGTATTTTTATTATCTTTTTTAAGGTATTTATTTAATAATTTAAAAAGATAAATATTTAGTTTATAATTTTGCATACAAGTGGAAATCATGGAAGATTAAAAAATATATCAATAAAATCAGTTATTAATATAGTTACTTACTTCAAATACAAAATTAAGTACAAATTTCGAGTATATTCGCTTAATTAGATTAGTGTTTAATTAGTGTTAAATTTGTCTAATGAACTATGTGTCTATTAAAATCAATAAATAAAAGGTGTTAAGTCCTTTAGTCACTAATCATGCAAAAGATTAGAATTAAAATTTATTTTATATTTTATTAAGTTAAATTTAATTAATATTAAAATTAATTTATATTTTATTAAATGATATTTAATTAAAATTAAATTTTAATTTATATTATATTTTATATTTTTTTAATTTTATTTAAAAATTTATAAACTATAATTTTAAATATTTGTGGGTATCCACAGGTATCTACTAGTATGTTTTAAACCGACATCCGGCATGCAACGAAGTGGGTAATGGATGAACTTTTTTGTTGTGGATTGAGTAGCAAGTATGCATTATTTGTCCATAATTCGACCCGTTATCATTCCTAGTATTTGTTATGTTCAAAAATTTAAAATTAAAACTTAATTTATATTTTATTAAGTTAAATTTAATTAAAATTAAAATTAATTTATATTTTGTTAGGTTAAATTTAATTAAAATTAAATTTTAATTTATATTATATTTTATATTTTCTTTTTGTAATTTTATTTAGATTTTATTTTAAAAGTAAACTATATTTTTTAAATATTTGCGGGTTTCTATGGATACATGCAAGTATTTTTTTAAATGGACATCCAATATCGAAGCTGATAATTGTTTTCTACCCGACCCGATCCCTTGTTATCTCTAACCATATAGCATTCATTACATTGTTTATTGGTTTTCTTTTATGGGATTTGCAGCACTTTAGTTGTACTTTAGTAAGAAGTAAGATTTAGAGGAACAACCTTTTGTATTGGTTTTTGGGGTCTTGTCATACTCTTTTGTGGAGTGGGTCTGAATTTTACTATCTCCTAACATGGTTGTCACTTTTTTATTTCTCTTATGTTAATTTTGAGAATTGTTTGAATGTAATTAGTAAAGTACAATTAATGACAATATTATATTGGTATTATTATTATTCACGTCACCATTGGCAATATAGGGTTGATGACAAAAAACAGAAATTTTATCTTACGAGTATCTGATTATGGCCTAATAGTCCGTTGTGGGACCTGACGAGTTGTATGTTTTGTAAACGAGTTGGTCTATCTTGATATGTTTTTAATGAGCTAAAAGTGGGTCAGGTCAAAACAGGCTGAGTTGACCCGTTTTGTCATGCTTAACCTACAAGAATTCTGAAACTCAAATCAATAAGAAATTTAGAGTTAGTATATAAGTAAAAAATAATTATGAGATTGTTATACTCTATGTGATAGGATGTATTTATAACCTTTTTAGACATATCAATAATAGATTAATAGGTTATATTATTGTTAACATATTTCGTTTATATCATAAATAATATGATATATCTCATAAGTATTATATTTTCTTTTATTTTAAGAAGGTTAATATATCACATGGATATTTTGTTTATTGGGCACTTTTAGGACTTGTCAAATAATAATATTTCAATATAGGTTGGGTAGATACACAAGTCTCCCCAAACTCAAAAGTTAACAACTTTTATCGGTGGTTCAAGTTATTAAACGAACAAGTTATATGTTATTTTAGCTTTTGATCAAGTTGTACTTGGTTTTATATGTTGCTTTTAGCTATTGGGCATTTTGTATGTTGCTTTTAGCTCATGACCAAGTTGTATTTGGACACTTATATCCGCACACTTTTGGATGTTTAATTTATACTTAAAATTTCTTGAGTTAGTCATGTTTTTAAACTCATATAGTTACATTTTTTGGATGCTTAATTTATATTTATATTTTTTTTAGTAAGCCCATAATTAGACACTCAGGTACTTGAAATATTTTTCAAGCTTATATGATACTTGAAGTGTTTTTCAAATAAATCCATGGTTACTTGGAGTGTATTCCAAGTAAGTCCATGATTGGACACTCGATATTTGGAGTGTTTTTCAAGTAAGTATATGATCGGATACTCGTAAAGTATTTGGAGTGTTTTCCAAATAAATCCATGGTTAGACACTCTTAAGGTACTTTGATTGCTCTCCAAATAAGTTGATAGTCAGACACTCGTAAAGTACTTGAAATATTTCCAAGTAAGTCTAGATCAAACACTCGAAAGATGCTTTGAGTGTTTTCTAAATATGTACATGGTCAGACACCTATAAGTTATATTTGGAGTATTTTTTAGATAAATTCATGATTAGAAACTCATAAAATGAAGTGTTTTGTAAGTAAATATTTGGTCGGACACTCATAAAATAATTGAATTGTTTTCCAAATAATTTCATAATCAAATGCTGGTAAGCTATTTGTAGTGTTTTCTAAGTACTTAGACTCAAATTTACTGAGTTTCATCGAACTTCCCTTAGAATATGTTTGCTTTTTTTAAAATACTCGTATTATATCGCCGTGCTACTCTTAAGGTATTTTTCATCTCACGAACCTCTTCCAATACTTTTCGATAAAATTTGTCTTCATCATATATTCTGTTTTTGAGGTATTTTTTTATCTACAAGGCTCTTTCTGTACTTTCTAGTAAAAAAATTTAGTTCTGTCGCATGTCTTGCTTTTCAGATATTTTTTATACCATAGGTATCTTTTCATATTTCTCATATAAAATTTAACTCGACTACATATTTAACAAACTTGGATCCTTTATTAGGCCTTTTAGGATCTGTAAAATAATAATATATTTTATTCATCTACAATTTAAGAGACAAGGAGCAGTGAAGTTAATTGACAACAACAAAGATTTCACAAGGGCGTTTAAAGATGTGAAAAGAAATATGCAACGATGAGAATTTATGAAATAAAAGTGAAAGTGAAAGGCAACATTTAAAACCTAGTTTACAAGATTCTTTTTACAATTATTTTTAAAAAGTAACTGTAAAATAGTTGGTTTACATAATCTAAATTAGTGTAATATAATGTAATTGTATTGTGATTTCACATCAATTATATTTGAATTAATGTAATTAAATTAATGTGAAAGAAATACAACGTTTATAAACTATTATTGATTTTAAATCGAATAATGTGATATTTTTTTATATTTACGTAGTTTACTACCAATTTCTTATTCCAACCAAAGAGATCCTACCCAAGAAGAGTATACCATTATTTTGAATTTAATATTTATTACATTTTAGTTTCATTTTTCATTTTTAATTGGTTATAGTAAATATGTAAGATAAGTGCTGGGATTATAATGAGGGCACTTTTCTCTTTTTCTTACATTAAATAGATGCACAGAATGAAAAAGCCAAACAACTTCATGTTGATTGATGAATTGTTCTCCCAAAACAATATAAATTTGTCATCTTTATCCTTAACAGTGATCATACATTTGCATACTCCGAAAATACAAAGGTTATTTATAGTTGGTTTTCTAAACATGAATTGCCCAACACCATTTGTAGCAAAAACTGCATGAGTTGCTTTGAATCGTTATAACCTAAGCAGAAGTTGTGTGAGCCTTTTGAGTGAGATGGCTAACATCACCCCACGTTTTTAAAGTCCAATTATCCTCACCATACAACTCAAAAACAGCGACTGATGTATTGTCTATTTTCCCTGCATAGCTTCCTTTTGCATTCGACCACTTGTACAGTGTTTCGATGCATGCACCATGAGTCACAACCACAACTCGTTCCCCTGCAATTCATTCATATTACAGAGGGAAAAACAAAGAACTTTTTTTTAAACAATGTCGGATGTTAGCAAAACCTTTATGTTTTCTTCCAATTCTCAGCAATGCAGATTTGCAGCGTTCAAACAGTTGAACAAAACTTTCTCCACCACCCTGCATGTGCAAAATGTAAGGCATTCATCACTCTAGTTATGTACTCATAAAGCATATACATAATCTGAATTTCACCATTTCTCTGCATAATCCAATAAACCATTCATGGTTCTATAAAATCTTTTCTTTATCTGTGGGTAGTCCAATCCAACTAGAAGTTTCGTTGCATGTAATCAAAGGGTTTTATGCTAACAAAAAGATTTCTGGTGTATTTACAGGGAGTTCTCGCTCATCATCCTTTGACACCAAAGCCTCATAAGCTATGGGATTAGTCTTTGATAATTCTCGATAACGAAGGCCTTGAAGATCCCCCATGTGTCTTTCCCGTAGGTCCAAATCCTTCACAACCTATACTTTCAATCAAAGTTAAATCATGTTAGAACATAGATGGGTGGTATATACCATGATTTTGGAAGGTGGATTTGGTTTCTATTTGTTGTACAAACATTACAATGAATTTATTAAATAGAAACTCATTTAGATTAAAAAAACGTTTGAATTATTATGTAAATTAATTTAAAAGTCAATTTAGAAATTGAGTATAGTTCAAATTATAATCTATTTTCATTGAATGGGTTATTTGAACTAGCCATTGAACTATATTCTCCAAATTTATTGATCAAGGTTTTTAACTAATTTTATTTTTAAATTCTAATTAATGATTTTAGCGATTAAATTTTAAATTTAGGGATTATTAATTCAATTTCTATAAATATATTTTTTTAGTGAAACATTGATGGTGTTGAAATATATATAAATGAATGAAATGAAACATTTGAAGATGATTATTGTGTATTGAAACCTCTAGTCCTCCACATTTTACTGCAATTATCTGTGCTGTTTCATAAGCCCGTTGCAGATCAGAAGAATATATAGCAGAGATTTTTGGTTCGCTGGATAGTCTATTAGCAACCTTCATAATAAAATTTGCAGGAATTAATTAGGGTAAAAAACAAAGAAATGAGTTAATGATCAAGTTTTGGTTTTGGATAAAGAAATTAAAGAATCCCATAAGCACAACTTACTGCAACTGCTTGTTTTCTTCCACTTTCACTTAAATCAATATCCACTTGTCCCTGTATAAATAAATGACTATTAGTGTGAAAATTGAATATGGTCAAGGCAAGAAAACTTACATAAGAAGAAATAATGAATAAGCATAGAAATATAATAAAGAGTTTAATTGGTATGTATCGTTAATAAAAATTTATGATAATTATTATAAAAGTCAATCTACCATTCATATTAATTTAAAATTTAGTGAAAGTATACAACATTTAAGGTTGGATAAGATTGTGAAAGCTTAGAGCATCGACAATTTTCTCTAATATTAAATGCAAGCACATAGGTAAAAAGAAAATGCTCTCCTTGGACAACAAGGCATAAAGAACTTTTTGGTTAGTTTACATTTTAAATTTTAAATTAAGAACGCGTAAACAGTGCACACGAAAATTGTCCATCATATTAAAATTTATTTAACTTTTCATTTTTTTAACTCCTGTGATTTCTAGTTGACGCCAAACTGGAATAAAGGTGAGACATAGTCTTAGAAATCGATGTAAAGAACTTGTTACTTGCTGTTTTGATTGCTTTCTTCTTCCTTAATTTTAGACCCATATAGGTGCATCAAATATACTAATAGAAAAAAGGATTGGGGATAATAAAAGGTCAACCCTCACATTTCTCACTGTGATAAATGATCCAATTCAAACAAGTTCATATGAAGTACCTGAACTCTTCCCTCAGAATTCCATGCTGTTTTACCATGACGAACCACAAAAATCTCAGCATAATCTGAATCTGGATAGCTATAACCACCACCAGCAACACCTTACCAATTAGTTTGTGGACAACCACTAATTGAGGAAACATATATCAAATTGGAAACAGCCTCCAATTATCTTCAAATAAGTTAATTCAATTGCACAAAATGTAGAGATAATTAAATTCATCATATGGTTTTCACCTTCACTTTTCAATTTTCAAACCCACAAAGGTGCACACACATGCATAATAAGCACGATAAGTAGTGATATGTGAACAAAATTGAGAAAGGAACCTACCTGGGAAGGGAAACGGTGGAGGAAGACACGGCCATTCTGAGCGAAGAAGCGACTACAAGAATTTGAACCACAAATTAAGATGAAGAAAGAAGAAAAAGAACGTGGTATATGCGTGAACTTTAGTGTGGTTGTTCTGTTTGTACTTTCCTATCCTCGTTACTTCGCTGATGTTTCAATATATTTTGAGTTCCTAATTGCTTCGCTTTTGTCGTTGCTAACATGTGTTAGGTTAGAAAGAACATTAGTTTAATATATTTTCATTTTTTTAGTTCCTAGTTGCTTCCTTTCTGTTATTGCTCTGTAATATACTATACATTTTGGGTTGACGTCTCACTAGTCACAAAATGTAATAATTATTATTATTGTGGGGCTAACTATTTAGTATGAACTGGTTACATTCAAAAATCAATTATTCCTTATGGTTACGTCAAACTCTACGGCAGCATTGTTAATTAATGGTCAAGTTCACTCAAAAGCCACAATCATTCCGAGGTGATGAAGTTACTATATAAAAGTACTATAACGTAATGTGACTGCTACAACCGTCTTGGGTAAATTGGTCTGGGCTAAGACGACGCTCGAACGCTGGCCTCATCACGCAGCATAATATGCAATCAAGCAAAATACAAACATAGAGGACAAATGAACCGTCATAAACAATACGCTTCATAGGTATCTCATCAACATGCAAAGTACCGACAACGGTCTTTGGAAATCCCAAATGACAGTTTAGTTTCAACATGTAATTGTCGCCACATTATAGTTTTAGCCACTCCCTGCAACCCATAAATATAGCATTCCAGACCAAAAATGATTGAACATTATGCCTATCCAAGGTTTCATCAAGTCAAACGAGGGAACATCAGAGTCATGTACAAAGAACCAGAAGGGAAAGGCAACCACGGAATTATTCTGGAGAATGCAAAAGCAGAGCTAGCCAAGGCAAAGGAAGAGCTCAATAGGGCTAAGGAGAGTTCCATGCAATCCTGGCTTGACTCGGAGCCTCTCATAGACGAACTTGAAAAACAGAAAGCCAATCTTGCTGATGCTCAACTAAGTGAAAATGCATCAAAAACTGCCACTGAGAAGCTGGAATCCCAGCTGAAGACCATACACAAGAGCATCAAATCCATAAGAGAGGAGCAACTCCAGACAGAATTGATGATCCAAGAAACCAATCAAACTTTGGACCACATGCGTAACGAAATGGAAAGGCTCAAACTCGAGAGAAACAAAGAAAAGTAAACACTAGCAAAACTGAGGCAAACCCTGAATCTAAGGAAGCAGTCAGTTCAAACTTTGCAGCTCACTCTTCCAGCTGTACTGCTGGAGTTAGATGCCGTGGAAGAATCTTCTGCCAAAGCTCTTCAACAGATCAAGCTTTCAGAAAATCACAGAGACGTTGTCCAGCTTACAAATGAAAAATACTACGCCCTAACAAGAAGAGCCAAAGAAAAGATTTCACACACAAATTCACGTATTTCTGTTTACATGGAGCAGAAACATGCAGCTGAGGCTACCCATGATTTAATGTTATCAAGATTGAAGAAGATTTATTCCAGTAGGTCATGGAGTATGAACAAAAGAAAAATAATGGGGCTACAGTATACAGAAAGGAGTACAAAAGGCCAAGATACGATTGTTGAAGAGGAAGTGATGGCAAATGTTTCACCTAAATCCTCTGCTGAGGAATCATTACCAAAGTCTAAAGGGGGAAAACTACAACAGTCCAGAAAATCAGTTAGTAATCATGTTAAAATAATAAGGAAAAAATCATCCATTTTGTATAAGTTAAGAAAATGTCTATATGGAAGTTAAGAAATTAGGTCGATAATTCCATATTTTCTTAAATGGATCAATAAAGTAACCATCCTGTTACATCGAAGGATGAAAAGTTCAATTTTTTATAAAACTGATAGGGGAATTCTACTGATTTGTTGTCTTGATATTAACACGCTGCCAGAAATGCTTCTGGTTGACCATTTACCATTGGAGGATAAAAGCAAAGAAAAACATGGCAAGTGAGTTGTTGGGAAGTCTTGTTATGAGATGTCTCAATCTGCCTTTCTCTTTTACACAAAAATCACCGGTTAGAGGTTGATGATCAAAGAGTTTGACAGAACAAAAAGTAAGATATGGATAGCTCTGTCACAACTTCACAATCTAGAAAGCATAAATTTGAAAACATACACTATATCAGATTTTTTTCAAAGACTACTGACAAGAAAAAACAGAAATTGTTGGCACTGTAATTGGCATTCCCCCAGAGACATTTGATTTTTCAGCTGCATGCACCATTACTTCAGGACCTCTACTTGAACATTTTAGAATAAGCCTTTTTCTCTCTATCACGTCTATCAGCAACCTGTAACCAAAAATTATAATCAGAATAAATTTCCTTTGTCACAGTGAAATAAACGGCATGTAACATGATAGAAGAAATAAATAGGTGAAATGCCTGACCTTTTTCCTGGCAGTGGCATACTCCTTTTTAATCCCTCCTGAGAAACAGAGTGACAAGTGGATTAAGCTTAATTAAAAAATATAGGCTAACTTCACAATACCAGTAAACTTTAAAAACAAAGAGTCATGGTCTAATGATTAGTAGGATCTCTATATTTTTACTTGTTTCATATATAACATTGAGAATCCCTTTTTTTTTAAAGCAAACATTAATTTCATTCTCACCAATATTTTTACTTTCCTTTTAAGAGATTTCATATTCAGACTCAGGTGATTGCAGAAAACATGTGATTCAGAAGATTTATTTGCCTAAACAGGATGCTTTTTAAAATACTGAAAACTGAAAGGTACTAAAGACGAACATAATGAAATGGAAATAGTAGTTTGCTAGCCAACTACACCATGATCTCATTTTAGTATTGTATCTCCTCTTCAAGTACTTCAACCCTGGTATGAATAAAATAAGGTCCTAAATGAGAAAATTCTTCTTAGCCCGAACAAGTTTATCAAGAACCCGGGATGTTCATTTCTTGACAACAAATCCATTGATTTAAGATAACCATTTTTTACAAAGCTGGCATGACATGAGCTGAAGAAGGAATGAAATAAACACTCAACGAATTTAAATAGACAACTACCATCATTAGGCTCCAACTCTAATGCTTTCTTGAAGCTTTCAACAGCAGAATCCAGGTCATTGAGTAACATATAAGCCTGAGATTAAGCAAGCGAAACATGAACAACAAATTACAAGATATGAAACATGACACAATGGTTCACCTAGCACAGTACAAGAATTATTTATCCCCTACGTAGTAGGTAATGAAAGGTATAACAACTAACATAAGCAGACATAATAAGAATGTGAACACAGTCCAAACACCTAATAGCATGGATCTAATCCAAATTAGCCAAAATCAAAACCGAATTGCAATAATTGGGAAGGATTATGTCAAACTTAAAAGCAAAATGTAAAATTAAAGCATTGTACAGAGCACACAATTCACTAGCCAGTATCAATAACTTTCATCATCAGCCTATTATCTTCATTGGAAGATGTCAACTAACCTGGCCTTTTCGAAACAGAGCTTTTGCATTATCTCCATCATGCATTGCAAAGTCTGAATCCAGTAGTGCTCCTTGTAGATCACCTATTTTCAATTTACAAGCCTAAGAAATAAAACAACAGGACACAGAGCATTAGTTTTAAGGTGAATGAAGAGTCCGAGTACATGACATATTTTATGAAGGCCACACATTGGAAAAGTAAATAAAGAGGGTTGAAAGGCTTCTGGTTGATTCTAGCAGACCCGGACCCACTAAGGTAACAATTTAAATACATTTTCATGGTTATATCTATTATCTCCATTCTCAAATCCTCCACCCTTAAAACCTGAGAGTAAGTTTAATATAAAATGCATGCACACACTAATAAAACAAGCATTCACAAGGCAGTAGCCTGATCTCTCGAGTTAACAATAAATCACCACTCAGCCTGTTCTAAGAGAATATGCATCATTAATGATTCCCCATCAATAAGCAAAAGCTAGAGATATAAATCATTCCTGGGCCTCTAGCTAAATATCTTAAGATTTTTACTGAGCTGGTCCTTGACATTAAATAATATTTTTTTAGTCTTGCCAGTATTGGTTACTTACAGAACTATTGGTAAAGATTTGAGATTTTGTCTTCCTTAACGAAGCACTGTTCTCTGCATAGTAAAAAGAAAGAGCAAAAACGTGAGATAGAAAGGATGAAGCAGAGAAGTACCAATATATTTCACTAGCCAGAGCCAAAATGCAGAGACACTGACCTTGGTCAATGTCGTCCTTCTCCCAACACACATCCAAATATCGCAACGCTTTGCGATACTTTCTCAATGCCATCTTATAATCTTGCTTCTGTTATGAGAGAAACAGGTAAGTAACAGTAAAACATTAGCTTGATATATAAGAATTATTAGTATAAAAAAAATTTACTGTCATCCAATTATAACAGTTGTGATTTTCAAGATAATTAGTAAAAGTTTACAAATTTAGCATACATGTCAAACTGAGAGATAAGATAACAATAATTTATTTTGTCCAGGAGTATCTGATCGGAGACTAAAATACAAATGCATATACTTTTCACTCAAATAATTACTACAATATATCATAACAGTTACAGATACAATAAACAAAAGCTTTAACCTTGTACTGCTCATTCCCCAGAGCCTTGATAGAATCCACAGCACTCATCCACCAAGAAAGCTCATCAGGTTTGACATCAAGATCTGCGGGCCAATCCGGATAAGTGTCACCATCCTTAAAGAAGTTAACAACTCCATCATCTTGCCCTTCGGGAATTTCCCCGCAATCCTCGATTACAACAGTCTGAGTGGGTCGGTCGTTTTCGCCAGTAACAATGTGTTCTGCTGAGCGAACAACGCCCATTCCTTTAACAACTCTTCCGAACACGACATGTTTACCGTCCAAGTGAGGGGTGCGTGTGGTGGTGATGAAGAACTGAGAACCGTTGGTGTTGGGTCCCGCATTGGCCATGGAAAGCATCCCCTTCCTCTCGTGCTTCAGCTCCAAGTTTTCATCCTCGAACTTCAGGCCGTATATAGATTCCCCTCCTGTGCCGTCGCCAGCGGAGATGTCGCCACCTTGGATCATGAACCCCTTGATCACACGGTGAAAACATACTCCCTGCATTAACAGTAGCAGAAAAAGAATAACCTTTCAGAATTGGAACGATAATAAACAAGAAAATAAGTCTAAGAAGAAAATAAAGGACCTTATAGTGAAGGGGGACATTGGTGTTGGGTCCTATGCCCTTTTCGCCAGTGCAAAGGGCCCTGAAATTCTCCGCGGTTTTGGGAACCACATCCTGAAAAAGTTCGATAACGATTCTACCCTCTAACTCGCCAGCGATACTAATGTCCAAGAAGCATTTAGGGTTCACCATTTTGGGAAGGTGAAGATGAGAGAAATGCAAGAATGGAAAGAGGAAGATGAAGAAGTAGGTAGGGAAGTTGAGTACAAAACCCTAATCCCGCTTTTTAATTTCAAACTCCTTTGTTTTCGTGCCGCGAACGACAAAACTTATACAGTTAACCATTCCACGTGTCACTGATCGCCTTTTCTTCTCCAGTTTGTCTGCGCAACAATAAGGAAAAGCAGCAAATACACTAGTTTAATTAGTAATCTTTTAGTTCTGTTAAAACTAATTTGTTGCATTTGGTTTAGTTCAATTGTAAAGAAATATAGAAATGCAGATAAGTGTACACTGGTATTCTTAGATTGAAGGAAGTGTTGATGAAATTTGAAAAGACATTAGTAACTCATGTCCATATTTCCTCAAAGAAAAGAAAGCAATGGAGTTTGCGGGCTTGGAAAGGATTATCATTGTAAATAAGTTATATTGTTATTTTGGACGGGTCAAGATTCAATTATTCAAGTATTAATGTTGTATTAGTGTCAAAGTTACTAAATATTTGATTATTCAAGTATTAATATTGTATTAAACGTAATTATTTATATATTTAACTTTTATTTATATTTATAGATTTCGAAATTATTTTTTATTAGTCACTATATAATTATGGTTTAATGGGTGATAATTACATTTTGTCTTAAACAGGTTATAATTAATATTAATCTCTCTTTTTTTTTTGACCATTTGGTCTCGTCTCTCAATCATACAGTCACCAAGGGATCTCATGCGAAAAGTAGACCATTCAATATATATCATGACTAGTTAATTATATACAGTACAATTGTTAATATTTTGTTTTAGATTATTCTAGATAACGAGTACATAATATAATTAATCAGGACATACTTTGTAACTTGTTTTTAAATTTCTAGTTTTCATTTTGATCAGGGATGAAAACACAAATAAAGAAAGGAAAATGGACTAGGAAAAAAAACAAAGAAATGAAAATGTTACAATGAAATTTAAAGAAAAGTAGATGGATCATGCAAATCGCCCTACTATCAAGGGAAACTTTATTGCTAAATGTGACGTGGAGACTATTGCACCAAACGCGTTTAGGCATGGTCGTCTGATCAACACGTTATAGAAAATGTTAGTCTCTACTAAGAGGTATTTCACCCAACCCTACTTACCCTCTCGCCCACCTCTGAACCCGGTCCTCAGGTCTACATACCTACGGGTATTTATCCTCTCACCCGCAAAGCCTACAATTTGCTTATTGTAAGGTACAATGAGGTCTTATGACAAGTCGATTTTAAATAATGTCTTTCAATATAAGATGTTGATCGAGCTTCCTTCACCGATCAACACTTTACTAATCTTGTAACACGTTATCTTCATCGTTATTACCATAGGATCATCCTACTCGAGGTCGGGAGCTAATAAGTATTCGTTCGTGAACGTTATGGGTGGCATAAACTTGAGCTTTTCGTCTATTGGGTGAACAGATTTTCAAGGCCAAAATGTGGTGCTTTCAAGCCGACGATGAAGATTCACCGCTTGTGAATGCTCCCGATATCATATTGAAATGATCGTGTAGCAGGCAGTCCTGACTTCTACTTTTGCTCCAGAATAGTTCAATTTTTATACAATTTATAATAGTTCAATTTTTATTATGATTCGTGATAACCAGAATTGGGGTGTTACATAGATCACTCACAATGTATAAGGCCATTTAGCTCACGAACATCCTCAAATGGTTGCCAGGATTAGTTGACCCTCAAAAGTAGGTGAGATCCACTGTTTGGGCATAGGTGTCTCCATGATGGTCGAGGTGAACGGTAACAAGTCGGTCGTGTTGACCGTGTGGATTGAGAGGTTGCCTTTGCTTGCCCAAGTACTACCTTTTATGCAGTCTTGCACGAGTCCTCATCGGCCTGGTAAGGACATGTTAACTCGATGCATTAAGCATCAACTATTGATCGATCTGCTCCTGATGGACGACCGCATTATCGGGCCTCAAAGTTGTCAACTCCTCCTCCTGCCTCATTTTTCATCTCATGCATTTTCCTATGCATTGCTATGATAATCTCCATTATGATCGCCTAATTTCTCGGGTGTGATGTTGCTCATGTTCCTAGTGGTCACCATAGGATCATTGTGTTGAATTCTTCAGCCCATGATGGGCGCCAAAATGTTTCGAATGTGGGGTCGATGTTAACGATTTGGGAATAATGTCCAACTCCAAGATATCCAATCGCAATTTGTTAAATTCGTTCGATAAATTGGGAGGTTATCTGCAAAGGATTCTCTGATGCCAAAGTCAGTAAAGATTAGACATTTCAAGTATTAATGTTGTATTAAATGCACTCTTGCTTACCTCCTACCTATATTTATAGTCACGACCTAATTATGACCCAATTGGTGATAATTGTACTTTGTCTTAAACTGGTCATAATTAACACCCGCTCTCCTTTTTCCTGTCCATTCGGTCTCATCTTTCAGTCGTACGATAATGAAGGGAGCTCATGTGGAGAAGTAAAACATTCGGTCCATTCCATGGACCAGACGATCATACGGTACAATTGATCATATTTCATTTTAGATTATTTTAGGTAAAGAGTATATAATATAATTAGTCATGACGTACTTCGTAACTTATTTTTAAATTTTTTGTTTTAGTGTTTTATTTTGGTCAAGGATGAAAAAAAATAAAGAAAGAAAATGGACTAGAAAAAAAAATAAAGGAAAATGTTATAATGAAATTTAAAGAGAGTAGATGGTTTGAGGAGAAAATTCACATCTTCATGTTACTATCTTTCATTCGTCCACATTTCCGTATGCAAGCCTCGTATACTCCCTTCTTTTTCTAAATTTCTTCATCTATTTTCATCCATTTCAGAAATTAAGAACATCATTGAGTAGTTGGAAGGAAAAAAAGTCTTTTTCACCGATTAATAGTTCGAAAAGAATTTCTAGTTCAAAGTAACTGATTTATTGTATGGTAAGTTTAAATTTAAACAAGTTGTGTTGAGGTTAGGGAAGCTATTTGAATTATAATAAGTACCTATCTTACTTTAAGTGATAAGTTGACTTTGATTATGTGATTATTGGATAAATATGTTGTTTTTACATAGGAGCTGTGAATTTGTTTGATTGTGGTTTTTATTTATTTATAATTTTTATGTTTTTTAAGGTGTTTTGATTAAATCTCAATTTTCATTTCATCAATCGTTAGGTCAAGTTAAAATGTTTTATATATGTTTTATATATAGTTCTTAACACACATGTCTTCGTTATAAACGTAAGAATTTTTAATTAAATGTCTATATATAGATAAATTAGTTATTTTGAGCGAGTTAAACACTAACATATATCTAATTTTGCGTTATATATGTAAATCTTTAATTCTTACTTTATTAACAATTAGGTTAGTCTTAGTATATAGTCCCTAAAATATATGTCTTCACGTAAGGATCATTAATTACATGTTTGTTTTAAAAAAATTAATTTCACAATGTCTAAAAATAATTGAATGGTATTGTCTCGGTAAAATATATTTTTTCACTTAATTAACGGTTGGATCAACATGAGAATTTAACACACAGGATAAAATCAATACTTTTGCATCATTAACTTTCAGATGAAGTTGATATTTTAACAACAAGTCATATATATATATATATATATATATATATATATATAATTGTAAGTCTATAATTTGAGTATTTTTTTTTTTGGATAAGATTCATATAAATAAGATTATTAACAACTTTAACCATTATTTTGTGTATAATATTTTTTTTGAGTTACACAATTAAGTTGATTTTTTTTATTGCCTTGTCAATTTGATTATCTTTAATTCGAATATAAAAACATAATTTTTGAAGTTTAATGGTAAAAAAATAATTTTTACTGTTTTGATTTAATTAATAAACAATCATTAAATTATGACTGTCAGACCTCGGAAAAATGCACCCAAACCTCTCATGTCAGAATCATTAAAAACGCACACAAAACCCCTCTACGCGAACGCCAGGTGTCAATCAACGAGGACTCGAAAATCAGATAGTGGAATGCAGGTGTCGGCAGACGAACGGACGTTCGTTTAGACGTGGGAAGCAAAACTGATTTTCTGAAAACCCGTCCCACTCTTTCTGCATGCACCTTCTTCCCCAGAACCTGATCTTTCAATTTCTCCTCCTTCTCTCTAGAATCTCGCCCTTCTCTCTACCAAAACTCACCATTTCTCTACTCCGATCTCTGTTTAGGCACCGTGGAAGCACTTCCGGCGTCCCAAGCTTCATTTTGAACCGAATAAGTTTCAAGTTTGAACGGGTAAGTGTATCTGTCTTGAGTCGTTCGTCTTCCGCTACATGCAAACCAAGCTCTGGTTGCATGCGGGCTTGTAGTCTAAGTTATTTTTGGTTTCATGTTGTTTGGTTTAGTTTGAAGATTTGTTGATCGTTGAGAGTAGAAAGATTGTAGTCGGACGAACCAAAACCTACCCTTAGGACGTTCAATCACGTATCCAGGTAAGGGAAACTTTATTTATTTAATTTATTGTTGTTGTGTACTGTATGAAACGTCCGTTATTTTGACTGAATGAATATTATAGGTGATGGTTGATATATTTGGATTGTATGAATGTGAATATGTGAGTATTTTGTTTGGAGTATGATTTTATTAAACATGATATAGATTTTATGAAGTACGTAAATTGATGTTTTATGTGAAGTTTATAAGGTTATTGAAATGATGTATTGAAAAAATTGAGTTTGACTAATAAATGAAAATCTGAATATGAAATTCTCACAATGATAATGTGCTTCGCATTGAACGGTCTCGACTCGTTCGGTGTTTCTAGTAAACTTCTTTGAAATTGAATTTCTTTCATTTGGGAAGAATTCTATGTTGAGGACGACGCCTTCTTGTATAGTGTTATGTTTGAGCGTTCGGCCAAAAGTAGATGCACCTGAGTTGTACGTGAGGAACTGAAAATCTTGTAAACCTGTATTTGTTATTTAGTATTCTTAAACACTGTCTCCAATCGTATCTTATCATATTTATTATTATTAATGTTCCTATTATAAGTTTAAATTAGTGATAGGTCTCCACCCAAGCTCTCGTATGAGTGGCGCTCTGTCTTATACCAAGCGCTTGTACTCGTTTAATTGATCACTCTTGATGAACAACGTTCGTCCAATTCCAGTAGAATCTCCTGTACCGTGATCGGTCATTTACCGGCATTAGTTTCTGTATATGAATATTCTACGTATGGTTCCTTAGCGTTTTGACCACAATCTACATTCATTGTTTCCGATCCGCGATTTCCTGTACTTAATGTATTCCTTGAGTGTAGGTTGTAGTTACGAGAGTCCGTTCATTTAACCAATTCTTGTTGTAAGTAACGTTCGTCATATATTGTAGCATTGTACCCGATTTATTTACTAAATCTAACAGTAACTCCTTTCGGTCTTATTCTATTATGGAACGGGAAAATTCTCTGTCTCGTTCCTATCGTACGTCCTCGTTCCGAAGAGGGCTGAACGTTCGATATTTGAAGGTCTTAGAAATTGTGATAGAGATGACACTAAAGTGAAGAATTTTAAAAGATGAAGAGTATATGAGATGAAAGTAAGGTTGTGGATTTTGAACGAGCGTTCCAGGGAGGAACGACTCTTGTATGAATATTGAAATTGTAAAGTATGAATGTGGTAATGCTTAGCTGGCGGTTCATCCTGATGTTCCATGAGTACTCGTCCTCACGTAGAGGAGGGTAGGTCATGTGTGGGAACGGAAAGAGGTCCTAGTCCTTAAGGGTACTTTGGACAGATAGGACTAACCTCGGGTGGCAGCTGATGAGAGTATTCCAGTTACTACATCACCCGGTGCACGAACGTCGTAGCTACACAGATTTCATACAGTCCGGACAGTTAGTCTAGTATTAGGAATTATATGTTACGTATGTTGAATTTGCCTTGTGCGTTTGATTGTTTGCGGTGTATGTTTATACTTGAATTAAATTACATAAGTTTACCCTGCAATTTCCTGTATTGTCTGTTTTGTACGTCCGTTCTTGTCGTTGCAATGATCATCCGTGTGGATGTAAGCAGAAGGAGGCGAACTACTTGAAGAAGTGCTGGAAGAGGAAAATTTGGTAGAAATAGAAGTGAAGACCGAGCAGTAGGAATGTTCGGTTAGTAGATAGTAGTCTTATTGTGAGGTGATCGTTCGTTCACCTCCTCTCTTTTGATTTTATCTGACCGTTCGGTAGGAACTTTTGTAAACCGTTCGGTCAGACTCGTACTTATGTATTAAATAATTATTGTCACTCTCTCTGTAAGGTCGTTCGGCCGTGAGCGTATGTTTTTAGTGTAAGACTGAACTGAAATATTATTAAATGTAATTATTCGATTATATGGTTTATTGCTGTATTTTTGGGATGTTACAATGACTAATATTTCTATTGAATTAGATGATATTTGATGAGTTTGAATGCATATAAACTTTTATTTTTATATTTTTAGGTTAATTATATTTTTAGTCTTTTGATTTTAATTTTAATCTCTATTTCAAAATTTGTTGTACTTAAGTGTGTATCTTTTCAAAATTCATAGAATCAATTCTCACAACTAATATGGAAAACGATAATCTACATCGTTTGAGACAAGTAACAAATTAATTAATTTAAAACTTAAATTAAATTTCCAATTCTTCTTCTTCTTTCTCAAGCTAGCCACCCATCACGATCTCCATTTCTAGCATAGCCACCCTCCATTCATGACCAACACATAAAACTTTCGTCTCCTCCCTTCCATTTCTCTCATCCACAAATTTGGTTTATTTTAACGAAAATATCCATTACAAAACAAGCATATTTATCTTCTTTCTCAACGAGCTCATAGTCTTTCTTCTCCACACACACACCAAACAGAACAATCACGCTCCAAACCAACCTCCATTCGCCTTATTCCTCCAACTCACGACCCTCACGCATAACAACTCCACTCCAGCCTTCATATCAATCACCCACTAATATCGAAACACAACCATTCATGCACAAAAAACAAAAAACACAGAACAGTCATGCGAGTCGCCCATTCTGAACAGCGATGCGAGCACTGACTCCAATTGGGAACGCGACGAAGTGGTGGTGGCGGCGCTGCGGTGGATGGCGATGGCGAATTGGAAAACCCCAATCGATCACTTTTTAAATTCTCAATTCCACATCACAAATCCTAGAAAATCATTCCAAATGCATCCAAAATCACTCCAAAACCTGGTGCAATCCACGACCAATCATAGAACCCTTTCCGATGTCAAGCACCGCCTTTTCCGCCAATCACACCAATCCTGCTACTTCATCCTCAATGGCAAGCCCCTACTCGACGAAACCCTTCTCTCGAGAATCGTGCCTCTCTCCACCCTCTCCCTACGGTCCCGCCTCCTCGGCGGCGGAGCCACCGACGCCGAGTCCTGCGATTGCTGTGGTGTTCCTAGTCCAGGGCTTGGAAATGAAAGAGAAGAAGAGAAAAGGGAGATCTGAATGGAGAGCTGAAAATGGAGAGAGAAGAAAAAGAATTGAAAATTTATTTTAAATTTTTTAATTAATTAATTTGTCAGGTGTCTCAAAACGAAGAACCGAAAGATAATGTGGATTAGCGTTAATGACTGATTCCATCACGTTTAAAAGGACATGAAGTTAACTAGACCAAATGTTAAAAAAAAAGATTAAAATCAAAATCGTGGAAAAAAATAGTTATCCCTATTTTTAGTATTTTTACTAAAATATAATAAACATAATAATTGTTATCTTTTTTTAATCTTGAAATGATATACTTTTATAAAACACATAATTTGTTTTCATAGGATGCACTCGTCTCTAAGTTAAGAGTTGAATTTTCGTTTAGTATCCGGTTTTAAAAATATAAATTACAAAAATTAATTTGTTAAGAATTAATCGAATTGAGGCTATAGCATCATCATTAGCTGGAATTGAAGGTCCGGGTCACTATTTATATCAATTAAACAAATTGTTGGAATTTCCAAAGTTATACATTCTCGAAGAGCCGTATATTCTTCTTGTTGATCGACGATTATTACAATATCAGGTAAACCCTTCATATATTTAATGCCGTCAAGATATGTTTCCAATTGAGCTAATTGTCTCTTCAATAGAGCGGCATCTTTTTTTGGAAAACTATGGAATCTCCCCGTCTTTTGTTGCATTCTCAAGTCCCTGAACTTTTGAAGTCGTGTTTTTGTAGTATACCAATTCGTTAGAAGACATTTGATCCCCATTTTACGAAAATTGTGTATCTTAAAGTCATCATCGTTTAACAGCGTTAAAATTGAAAACGTAGACCTGAGTGTGGATGTGAGGTGTGCAAAAAATGTGATCGTGGCAATGAGTTGGGGTAGTTGACGTGGCAGGAAAATGAAAAAATTACGTGTTATGAAAAAATTACATTAGGGAGCTTGCAGCCGCTGTCGTACACACCACGACCACCATCCACAATCGTCAACGTTGCTACCGCAAAACTCACCATCGTCGGAACACCATGAGTTCATTTCACCACCACACATCACTGCCATCAACTCACCGCAGAGAATCACCCAAAGCAAAATCCACAACCTCCATCATTAAATCGCGAAAGCAACCCTCAAATCGCCGCGAGTTCAGAGCGCGAGCCATCATCTTCTCCGCTATAAAACCAGCACAATAGCGCCACCAACAGCCGCAACTACCCCGCCGCGATGCCAATCTCTTCCACCACAGAACGTAATAGCGACTTCTTCATCCAAATCGCGCTCAAAAACCTGCAACCAGATAAATCAATTCGCCCAAATCTGAGCTACATTCAGAATCCGTAAGGCAAATCGCGACGGTGAACCCTAGATTAAAGGTTTATTCGGTGTAATTTCTAGGGTTGAGGATTTGGGATGTTTTAATCGGTGCAAAACCCTAAATAAAGCAGAGACCATAAGATGGACCGATTAAACGATGGGAAGGAGAGATTGATCGGAGGAAAACCTTTTAAACGGAGCAAAGGAAGATTTAAACGGTGGAAGTGGCTAGAATCCGATTTCAATCGGTGAAATGGAATGTAAATGAGATTCTAATCGGGCAGAGATGAAGGAAAGAAGAACTAAGGGAAGAATGAGGTGCAAAGTTGAAATCAATCGGGGGATTAATGACAAACTTGATGGAAGAGACCGTCTTTGGCTTGGATTTGCGATGAAGTCGAGATTTGGTGACGGCGGGAAGAGGAGCAGGCGGGGGCTGAGAGGAAGGTGGAGGAGTTGAAGAAGCGGCAGAGTCGCACTGCCGTAGAGGATGAGTACAAGAGAATGGGGAGTAAGATTAAACTGGACCGTGTTCGTGAATACAAATGAATGAAGATTGATGAATGACGATTGAAGAAGGGTTTTGGGTTTTTTGTGTATGGGTTTCTGAATTTGGAAAAGATGAACTCTGTTGGCAAGAAGAACATATGAGAGAGAAAAAAAATGCTGGCAGAAAGAGTAGAGGAGAGAAAAACAAATTCAATTTCTTCATTTTTAAAACTGATGCTAAAGGAAAATTCATCTCTTAGGAACGAAATAAGCTATTAAGCCTATTAAAAACATAACAAATATTCCATCTAATCCTACACAAAATATGTACTAAATGTTAAAAAATGGTTTGTTTTTCAAATTATTGATTAATTACACAAAAATGGAATATAGTTCTAATAGATATTTAATTTACAGATATTCTTGGAAAATATATAATAGGTTTACATTATTTTGGATTTAACACTGATCTTGAAAAAAAAATAGTAATTTTAAATTGATATCAAACTTATTTATAAACATTTAAATTATTTTTGTTTTAGAAAATATAAATTTGAATTTAAAATTCAATCTAATTATTAAAATTGGATTTATAAAAATCTAAATTAGTTTTTTTTTTAAACATTCGATTTAATCCAATCTATATCCACCTCTATTATGGATAATCTTCTTCAGCAGAGGTAGCAGGAAAGAGAGCATCAGATACAACTCTAGAAGGTCAACAATATTTATTCTTAAGTCCTATGGACATTAACATGTAGCAGCTCCTGTGAAAGTACAATTTTTACAATCCCAAACTGAAGATTTTGAGAGTCTTTATCGTAATTACAACATTTCTGGAGTGGATTGACATATCTACGATAAGCAACCAAATTAGAATCCTCATGAAACAGAGAGGGATGAACACTAAGTCTACATAAATTTGACTTCATCCTAATATAGAGAGAGGAAGAAATATGAACCTTTGAGGTTAATTGCTTCGTCACTCTAAGTTAGTATAATGATATTATTATTTTCTAAAACTGCTACCGTATTCTCGAGCGGCATAATTTACAGACAGAAGAAGCTCTTGACTTTTAGCATTGATAAACTAAGCAAAAGAGAACCTATGACGGCAACCGCTGCAAGTCACTGCATGAGCGTCTCTTAAACTATAGTACTACAATGTGGGCCCCTGTCATTGGCATAAATAATCAAAACTTCCTCCAGCTCAGCCAATTGAAAAGACCATTTTTTTCCTTTTGAAGTCGACCAGGTGTGCTGTGGAGGGAAGAAAAAAGTTCCGTGGTACCACTGCTATGTGGTTATTGTGAGATGATTCCCACTTCAGCAAAGAAAAAGCATGGCGCAGAGAAATTGGGCAATGGTCATCGCGTGTTAAAAACAGGATTACGTTATTGGTTCAAGGATGCAGGAAGAATTTCCAACGAAGAAATGAGAAATCCACGCCTGTCAGCTGCTTTAACCTTGGCAATTTTGGCACAGGAGATTGACAACTGATCATGTTTATATTCAAATTGTTTGATGGGACTACGTGGTTTGTCCTGCCAACAAAAGAAAATTTTAATAACAAACAAATAAAATGACTCGGCAAATATAAAATGGCACAACTGTATTCACCATGAAGCCTGTTCCATTATACAACTGAGTGGGAGATGAAACATCAGGCTGTTGAGAGTTTTTCAAAAATCGATGTTCTAGTAAAACTGCAGCTGCTGGCCGCTCTGCTGGATTCCTTATAAAGCAGCACCTCAAGAAATCTTTACCCTCTGGCGACAATGTTTCAGGAATAGGAGGGGTTTCCTTCATAACCTTAAACAGAGCTGCAGCCTGTATAATTAGAAAAAAAAAATTATTTAACAAGCTAAAAAATAAAGTACCCGTATACATACATCATCTCTGCCAAATCCACAAGCTGAAAACAGAAAAAAGTTGGCTCATGCCTTAGCTCATATTGAGGTTTGCCAAAATAAGTAAAAAGTTGGTGCATATCATCCGTTACCAAACTTCAGAATCCCATATTCTCATATAAAGCGATATAAAACCATCCATCTTTGAATAAGTAGTTTTGGAAACCATTGGGATTCTGTTACCAATGAGAAATCTTATACTAATACTATATCAGTATGGAATTGAAGTAGCCTGAGAATCACAAAGTTGGAAAGAGGCAAAGTAAAATTTTCTTCAGGTGCTTACTCCTTCATATTCACTCCAAGGAGGCTTCCCTGTGAACATTTCAATGATGGTACAACCCAGACTCCAAATATCAATAGCAAAAGCAAGATCAGGGCTGTTATCCTTTTGCATCACAGCCTGCAAAAGCTGAATGAGAAAAGTGTTAATAAGAATTGCACGAGACATTACAGGATAGTGCAGTGTAATAATATATAATATACCTCTGGAGCCATCCAGTACGGACTTCCCCTCAAAGATAGATTAGCTTCGAACCCAGTTAGCTGTGACATAAAGGGATCCCGAGTTATAAACTTAATGAAACACCCCATGAACAGATTCAACAGCACAAAATAAGCACCAGAGCGCCTGAAGATACATATTCAACCAATGAAATTGAAAAACAATACATGAAGCACCTGATTATTATACAATCAAATTCAGAAAAATCTGAATCTGCTTTAAGGGGAGACAAGATTGCTCATCTCAAGCGAGAGAAAGGAATTTTAAAAGCAATAACTTTGAACTTTTTAACATAAGGCCTGTGTTTCTGATGCCAATCTCTTGGGATTTTTCAACAATAAACATATAATCTTATTAAATAGAAGAAATACAAAGATTCTACAGAATTACCGAACCACTCTCAGCATATGAAAAAGAACTGAAACTAGAAAATGTGAATTAAAGGGGAAGGCTTCTAACTCACATGCTTAGCCATCCCAAAATCAGCAAGTTTAACAACTCCAGCGGAGTCAACAAGCAAGTTAGCCCCTTTGATGTCCCTATATGCATACAAGAAAAATATAAGCAAATACAAAAGTGACAAAGGTTCAAATATAAGATAAATTAAAAATTCAAGGAAAAGTCGTTTTCCAACTAGAACAAAGCAATTGCATGTGGATCAATAAAGGTTTTGAATTCAAGTTGGTATGAGTTGTGAATGTACCTATGAATTGTTTTTTTGCTATGTAAATAAGCCAATCCAGATAGAATATGTCGAGTGAAATTCCGAATGACAGATTCTGTTATGGCACCACAATGTTCACGGACGTATTTATTAATTGAACCAGGATGAACATATTCCAGATAAATATAAAACCGGCCCTCAACCTGCAAACGCATACTCCAAAGATGTTATAAGGTTTTAAGGCTGTAACAAAAAAAATGAATAATCTTGAGCGGCTAATTATGAAGTAAGAGATTGTTTACTATTTCACTGCCAAAATACTGCACGATGTTCGAATGCTTTAGCTGGCTAAGAACTTTAATTTCCTGGAGAAAGAGAATAAACTAGTTAGAAGAATAGGGAGGATAGAGAATAAAATATCTTCATACTTAATGAGGGGAGGGTAAAATGTATAGCCAAACCATAAAAACAACAAAGCAACCTCACAAAGTAATTAAGCATAATGGACACTACAACGAAATTTAGGAGTCGTCACTGCAAAATGTATATTGGCCAAGGCTAGGAGAAAACACAGGTAAAATAATAGACCAGTTAATCTGAGCTGGACATCTGTACTGTTCAATGAGAAAAAATTAATTTCAATTACCATTACAAAGTAGTTGCCTTAGTTATTAAAAGTTTCAAGATAATACATTTCAGAAGTAAATTTGCTAAAGCAGAATTGCAAGATGTTATTAATAATGCAGCCACAGTTCCCAGTACTCGTGTAATAAGAGATCCAAAGTGACTAAAATGTGTTCTTATTCAGGATTGGAAAGAGAACTACTATTCCCAAGAAACTGACTGACATTTACCGCACTGACTTCTTTACTAAAATTCCAAAGTTCTAATAAGAGATATGAACCATAACACAATAAAGGAGACAAAACATCACTCTATGCGGTTTGTACATTTTACACAGATCACANACCAAATGTTAAAAAAAAAGATTAAAATCAAAATCGTGGAAAAAAATAGTTATCCCTATTTTTAGTATTTTTACTAAAATATAATAAACATAATAATTGTTATCTTTTTTTAATCTTGAAATGATATACTTTTATAAAACACATAATTTGTTTTCATAGGATGCACTCGTCTCTAAGTTAAGAGTTGAATTTTCGTTTAGTATCCGGTTTTAAAAATATAAATTACAAAAATTAATTTGTTAAGAATTAATCGAATTGAGGCTATAGCATCATCATTAGCTGGAATTGAAGGTCCGGGTCACTATTTATATCAATTAAACAAATTGTTGGAATTTCCAAAGTTATACATTCTCGAAGAGCCGTATATTCTTCTTGTTGATCGACGATTATTACAATATCAGGTAAACCCTTCATATATTTAATGCCGTCAAGATATGTTTCCAATTGAGCTAATTGTCTCTTCAATAGAGCGGCATCTTTTTTTGGAAAACTATGGAATCTCCCCGTCTTTTGTTGCATTCTCAAGTCCCTGAACTTTTGAAGTCGTGTTTTTGTAGTATACCAATTCGTTAGAAGACATTTGATCCCCATTTTACGAAAATTGTGTATCTTAAAGTCATCATCGTTTAACAGCGTTAAAATTGAAAACGTAGACCTGAGTGTGGATGTGAGGTGTGCAAAAAATGTGATCGTGGCAATGAGTTGGGGTAGTTGACGTGGCAGGAAAATGAAAAAATTACGTGTTATGAAAAAATTACATTAGGGAGCTTGCAGCCGCTGTCGTACACACCACGACCACCATCCACAATCGTCAACGTTGCTACCGCAAAACTCACCATCGTCGGAACACCATGAGTTCATTTCACCACCACACATCACTGCCATCAACTCACCGCAGAGAATCACCCAAAGCAAAATCCACAACCTCCATCATTAAATCGCGAAAGCAACCCTCAAATCGCCGCGAGTTCAGAGCGCGAGCCATCATCTTCTCCGCTATAAAACCAGCACAATAGCGCCACCAACAGCCGCAACTACCCCGCCGCGATGCCAATCTCTTCCACCACAGAACGTAATAGCGACTTCTTCATCCAAATCGCGCTCAAAAACCTGCAACCAGATAAATCAATTCGCCCAAATCTGAGCTACATTCAGAATCCGTAAGGCAAATCGCGACGGTGAACCCTAGATTAAAGGTTTATTCGGTGTAATTTCTAGGGTTGAGGATTTGGGATGTTTTAATCGGTGCAAAACCCTAAATAAAGCAGAGACCATAAGATGGACCGATTAAACGATGGGAAGGAGAGATTGATCGGAGGAAAACCTTTTAAACGGAGCAAAGGAAGATTTAAACGGTGGAAGTGGCTAGAATCCGATTTCAATCGGTGAAATGGAATGTAAATGAGATTCTAATCGGGCAGAGATGAAGGAAAGAAGAACTAAGGGAAGAATGAGGTGCAAAGTTGAAATCAATCGGGGGATTAATGACAAACTTGATGGAAGAGACCGTCTTTGGCTTGGATTTGCGATGAAGTCGAGATTTGGTGACGGCGGGAAGAGGAGCAGGCGGGGGCTGAGAGGAAGGTGGAGGAGTTGAAGAAGCGGCAGAGTCGCACTGCCGTAGAGGATGAGTACAAGAGAATGGGGAGTAAGATTAAACTGGACCGTGTTCGTGAATACAAATGAATGAAGATTGATGAATGACGATTGAAGAAGGGTTTTGGGTTTTTTGTGTATGGGTTTCTGAATTTGGAAAAGATGAACTCTGTTGGCAAGAAGAACATATGAGAGAGAAAAAAAATGCTGGCAGAAAGAGTAGAGGAGAGAAAAACAAATTCAATTTCTTCATTTTTAAAACTGATGCTAAAGGAAAATTCATCTCTTAGGAACGAAATAAGCTATTAAGCCTATTAAAAACATAACAAATATTCCATCTAATCCTACACAAAATATGTACTAAATGTTAAAAAATGGTTTGTTTTTCAAATTATTGATTAATTACACAAAAATGGAATATAGTTCTAATAGATATTTAATTTACAGATATTCTTGGAAAATATATAATAGGTTTACATTATTTTGGATTTAACACTGATCTTGAAAAAAAAATAGTAATTTTAAATTGATATCAAACTTATTTATAAACATTTAAATTATTTTTGTTTTAGAAAATATAAATTTGAATTTAAAATTCAATCTAATTATTAAAATTGGATTTATAAAAATCTAAATTAGTTTTTTTTTTAAACATTCGATTTAATCCAATCTATATCCACCTCTATTATGGATAATCTTCTTCAGCAGAGGTAGCAGGAAAGAGAGCATCAGATACAACTCTAGAAGGTCAACAATATTTATTCTTAAGTCCTATGGACATTAACATGTAGCAGCTCCTGTGAAAGTACAATTTTTACAATCCCAAACTGAAGATTTTGAGAGTCTTTATCGTAATTACAACATTTCTGGAGTGGATTGACATATCTACGATAAGCAACCAAATTAGAATCCTCATGAAACAGAGAGGGATGAACACTAAGTCTACATAAATTTGACTTCATCCTAATATAGAGAGAGGAAGAAATATGAACCTTTGAGGTTAATTGCTTCGTCACTCTAAGTTAGTATAATGATATTATTATTTTCTAAAACTGCTACCGTATTCTCGAGCGGCATAATTTACAGACAGAAGAAGCTCTTGACTTTTAGCATTGATAAACTAAGCAAAAGAGAACCTATGACGGCAACCGCTGCAAGTCACTGCATGAGCGTCTCTTAAACTATAGTACTACAATGTGGGCCCCTGTCATTGGCATAAATAATCAAAACTTCCTCCAGCTCAGCCAATTGAAAAGACCATTTTTTTCCTTTTGAAGTCGACCAGGTGTGCTGTGGAGGGAAGAAAAAAGTTCCGTGGTACCACTGCTATGTGGTTATTGTGAGATGATTCCCACTTCAGCAAAGAAAAAGCATGGCGCAGAGAAATTGGGCAATGGTCATCGCGTGTTAAAAACAGGATTACGTTATTGGTTCAAGGATGCAGGAAGAATTTCCAACGAAGAAATGAGAAATCCACGCCTGTCAGCTGCTTTAACCTTGGCAATTTTGGCACAGGAGATTGACAACTGATCATGTTTATATTCAAATTGTTTGATGGGACTACGTGGTTTGTCCTGCCAACAAAAGAAAATTTTAATAACAAACAAATAAAATGACTCGGCAAATATAAAATGGCACAATTGTATTCACCATGAAGCCTGTTCCATTATACAACTGAGTGGGAGATGAAACATCAGGCTTTTGAGAGTTTTTCAAAAATCGATGTTCTAGTAAAACTGCAGCTGCTGGCCGCTCTGCTGGATTCCTTATAAAGCAGCACCTCAAGAAATCTTTACCCTCGGGCAACAATGTTTCAGGAATAGGAGGGGTTTCCTTCATAACCTTAAACAGAGCTGCAGCCTGTATAATTAGAAAAAAAAATCATTTAACAAGCTAAAAAATAAAGTACCCGTATACATACATCATCTCTGCCAAATCCACAAGCTGAAAACAGAAAAAAGTTGGCTCATGCCTTAGCTCATATTGAGGTTTGCCAAAATAAGTAAAAAGTTGGTGCATATCATCCGTTACCAAACTTCAGAATCCCATATTCTCATATAAAGCGATATAAAACCATCCATCTTTGAATAAGTAGTTTTGGAAACCATTGGGATTCTGTTACCAATGAGAAATCTTATACTAATACTATATCAGTATGGAATTGAAGTAGCCTTAGAATCACAAAGTTGGAAAGAGGCAAAGTAAAATTTTCTTCAGGTGCTTACTCCTTCATATTCACTCCAAGGAGGCTTCCCTGTGAACATTTCAATGATGGTACAACCCAGACTCCAAATATCAATAGCAAAAGCAAGATCAGGGCTGTTATCCTTTTGCATCACAGCCTGCAAAAGCTGAATGAGAAAAGTGTTAATAAGAATTGCACGAGACATTACAGGATAGTGCAGTGTAATAATATATAATATACCTCTGGAGCCATCCAGTACGGACTTCCCCTCAAAGATAGATTAGCTTCGAACCCAGTTAGCTGTGACATAAAGGGATCCCGAGTTATAAACTTAATGAAACACCCCATGAACAGATTCAACAGCACAAAATAAGCACCAGAGCGCCTGAAGATACATATTCAACCAATGAAATTGAAAAACAATACATGAAGCACCTGATTATTATACAATCAAATTCAGAAAAATCTGAATCTGCTTTAAGGGGAGACAAGATTGCTCATCTCAAGCGAGAGAAAGGAATTTTAAAAGCAATAACTTTGAACTTTTTAACATAAGGCCTGTGTTTCTGATGCCAATCTCTTGGGATTTTTCAACAATAAACATATAATCTTATTAAATAGAAGAAATACAAAGATTCTACAGAATTACCGAACCACTCTCAGCATATGAAAAAGAACTGAAACTAGAAAATGTGAATTAAAGGGGAAGGCTTCTAACTCACATGCTTAGCCATCCCAAAATCAGCAAGTTTAACAACTCCAGCGGAGTCAACAAGCAAGTTAGCCCCTTTGATGTCCCTATATGCATACAAGAAAAATATAAGCAAATACAAAAGTGACAAAGGTTCAAATATAAGATAAATTAAAAATTCAAGGAAAAGTCGTTTTCCAACTAGAACAAAGCAATTGCATGTGGATCAATAAAGGTTTTGAATTCAAGTTGGTATGAGTTGTGAATGTACCTATGAATTGTTTTTTTGCTATGTAAATAAGCCAATCCAGATAGAATATGTCGAGTGAAATTCCGAATGACAGATTCTGTTATGGCACCACAATGTTCACGGACGTATTTATTAATTGAACCAGGATGAACATATTCCAGATAAATATAAAACCGGCCCTCAACCTGCAAACGCATACTCCAAAGATGTTATAAGGTTTTAAGGCTGTAACAAAAAAAATGAATAATCTTGAGCGGCTAATTATGAAGTAAGAGATTGTTTACTATTTCACTGCCAAAATACTGCACGATGTTCGAATGCTTTAGCTGGCTAAGAACTTTAATTTCCTGGAGAAAGAGAATAAACTAGTTAGAAGAATAGGGAGGATAGAGAATAAAATATCTTCATACTTAATGAGGGGAGGGTAAAATGTATAGCCAAACCATAAAAACAACAAAGCAACCTCACAAAGTAATTAAGCATAATGGACACTACAACGAAATTTAGGAGTCGTCACTGCAAAATGTATATTGGCCAAGGCTAGGAGAAAACACAGGTAAAATAATAGACCAGTTAATCTGAGCTGGACATCTGTACTGTTCAATGAGAAAAAATTAATTTCAATTACCATTACAAAGTAGTTGCCTTAGTTATTAAAAGTTTCAAGATAATACATTTCAGAAGTAAATTTGCTAAAGCAGAATTGCAAGATGTTATTAATAATGCAGCCACAGTTCCCAGTACTCGTGTAATAAGAGATCCAAAGTGACTAAAATGTGTTCTTATTCAGGATTGGAAAGAGAACTACTATTCCCAAGAAACTGACTGACATTTACCGCACTGACTTCTTTACTAAAATTCCAAAGTTCTAATAAGAGATATGAACCATAACACAATAAAGGAGACAAAACATCACTCTATGCGGTTTGTACATTTTACACAGATCACAAATAGGCAGTGGTAACAAACAAGTAACGACAACCAACCTGCTCTAACTGTTTTATAGACTCAGCAGATTTTGGATCATCAGGAAACATTTCCACTTCCTTCATTGCACATAATGCACCGGTTTCCCTGTCAAGAAACAACATCTCTTTAAGAGATTCAGAAAATAGATAAAAGATCTTAAAATGCACATGAAACATTATATACCTATTGGTTGCAACATAAACACTTCCAAATGTCCCACGCCCAATAAGTTTCCCTTTCTGCCATTGGTTTTTCATTGGCAATGATTCTGATCTAGCATTGGAAAATGTACTAGCTGACGATGGAGAGGGCAGGGGAGCCCCAGGAGGCAGGGGCAAGGGGTGAACACTGACAGGAGGGGCAGTACTTTCACGGCGCACCATTGAGATTTCGAGTGATAACTTGGAATGTAAAGGAGATAGAGGTCCACTCAAGGTTCTGGTGTGTTGCCCGGGACTTCTCCTCTGTGGACTTTGATGGGAGGTGGGAGAGGGAGAAGTTTCTGTGCCCAACACGGATAAATCAAAGAAGGCAGGAGGTAGCAACCCTGTTTCACAGGTAGACATTTCTGGTGCAGACCAGAACTGATTTCCTTTGGGACTCGCATAATAATATGGCACTGATTCACCATTTTTTGTTTTCTGTGGACTCATTATTGAAGGACTTGCAAAGGGAATACTTGAAAAACTGCTCCTACGAGGGATGCTCGCGAAGTTACTATTATTAGTATTACTATTCTCTCGAGCACATTCACAACAACCACACGAATCTTGATGCACCATTCTCGATGACCTAGTTTCAGCCTGTTCCATATTCTTTCTCGTGTCTTGGCCAGCAAAAACACTGTTACAATACAAAATTCGGTCAAATAGGTCAGCAAACTCACCACTGAGAACTCTTCCACAAACGCATGGAGAAGTTGCAGTACAAAACTGCAAATGCATAATCAATTCAGCTTGAATAATTTCTCCAAAAACAAAAATAACAAATGTAAAATGAATTGATCATTTTCATAAATTTAAATCAAGTTATGCACTTAACTTTTACAGAACGTACCTGATCCAACTGCTTTAAAATCGAGGTGCATAAATAGATTTTAACTTGTCAAATAAACTCAGATTCATTTAATTTTTTTTCTCGTAAGCGTTTAAGGAGAACCTTACACAGGCAGTGTCATAAAGTTTCATTTCACAAGTACAAAATATACGCATCTCATAGATTCAGTCCGAAACAACAACAAACGTGCAACATAAAAAATCACGGAACGATCTCAAGCAGTAATAATCGAATTCATTAAGCAATTAATTACCTAACAAAAATTGAAAAGCCACTGATAAAACTAGTTGAAGGAAAGAAAGGACAAGTTAAAAAATCGACCTCCGCATCCGACAGCCGGTGGAGGTGGTGACTGTAGCAGCATCCTTGGGCGAGGGAAGACGACATTCACCGTCTCTGCGGAGAACGGCTGAGGAAGCGGCGAGCTCCGGCAGGGGCAAGGGCTGAGGTGTGCCGGGGGAAGGGAAGGGTGGTGAATCGTCATCGTGCCACCTGGCGTCGTTCTCGCCATGACAGGCGCGTTTCTTGGATGAACTACCGAACAGCCACACCTTCCGGCGGTGGTCGGCGGAGGCGGCTGAGGAAGACGAGGAGGAAGCGGAAGGCGTGAAGGAAAGCGTGGGTAACCAGCGCATGGCTGCGTGAATCTACAGAATCAAAGAAACCTATGACCTCACAATGCGGATCGAAGAGAGGAGATCCTATTGGAAGCGCAATGTAAAGCTTTAACAACAGTCATCGTTCGCTTTAGCACCATAGCGGTTCCAGAAAGAAACGACAACCATAGGCCTTCCACACAAAGTCAATACGTTCCACCTTTTCTTTTTTTCTTTCTTCCTTCCCTCTAACTAAGTCAAGGTCTCTCTCCAATCTCTTTCTCTCTCTCTGTTGCCACAACACAACAGAGAACACGACACAATATAAATAATTCTTTTCCCAAAAAACACTTTTATTTTTTTACCAACAGAAAGACTGTTCTATTTTAGATACGGTAGTTATGTTCGCGCCAGGTAACACAACTCAACGTCTCCCTTAATTAACATAACTATCTTTTCACTTCCATTTCTATCTTCATTTTCACCAAATCATTCTGCATTATTAGTGTATACTTATTTTCTCATCACTCTCTAAATAGAAATAACCTTAACAACTTTCACCAAACTTACTGAATTTTTTATTATACTAATTTTCAATATTATTATTATTTTAATGTGGTTGGGTCTTGACTTGAGGATGTTTGAAGGAGGAATTACGTGAATTTATGGAGTTTGACGTTGGTGAGAATTGAGAAGACTATTGCCAAGTAAAACCATATTTTGTTTATAAAATGAAAAAGTAAAACCGTATTTTGATTCCATTATTGTTGGATCGGATTGTAAGAGAAGGAGTGACGTTGATTTCGAGAGGTTATTTGATCGATGATTGCGCGTTTCTCGATTCTATAGTAATTCGCTTCTAGATAGATTGACATTATATAGAGTTGATTTAATAATTAATTCTTATATTCTCTGTACTCGCTTTGAGTAATTGACTCAACATACAATGTTTAATAAATCAAATCATAAACTCTAATTTAATACACACATTAATTGCATCTGTTATCCAACTGTTTCCACTGTTCTATGTTAGATTTGTTCAGATCCATCCTTTGGAAAATAATTATTTTATTTAGGTTTAATTATTACATGTTGTTGTGATATATTTTCACTGGTCGTATTGACAACTTTTAATTGTGATTAAAAAAATTAAAAAAAGCCTCTAACCACAACTCCATGACCATAATTAAGATGGAAAGTGGGCATAATCTACATTTTTTTCGGTGTTTGACAATATTAATACACGATTCATAACATTAAATTAAATAAACATGACTCTCTTTTCTTCAAATACTTTAAGAACTTATTTTGTGGTTAAAATACGATAACATAAATATGTTATAAAAATAGCTATTGATATTCAATGTCTAAAAATTAGATAATAATATATTGTAATATAATTAATCATAATAAAAATGGTGGTGATGATGATATGGCCATAATGATGATAGTTAGAATGGTAAAAATGATATACCAATATAGAGGATGATAATAATTGTTATGTATAAGAACCTTTATAATTTTTTTAAGTTAAGAAACATTAAACAAAATACGTCAAAGTAGATATAGTAATTGAAAAGGAAAAAAAAATAGAACCTTTTGAATGATTAAAAAGAGTTTATATGTTGTTCGTTAAGTATTATACTTAATTTTAAGTGATTATTTGATTATAAGTTCAAGTATTTTTTTCCCAAGTTTATCGAAGGTGTTTTTTTAATAAATTTATCTATGCTTTCATTGTTGACTAAAAGTTATAATGCATTGCTTTTAAGCATTATTGGGGCACCACGTAAGCCAAAATGGTCAAAACAACATGATTGCTACAAGAACAACATTCCACAAAAGTTATTGAAAGATTTTGATAATTGAAGCAGTAGAAAGTAGAGGATTGGTTGAAGTAGTGATCTGAATTGGTCAAAGGTCACCCAACTTGACCAATACCCTTCTTCTATCCTCAATTTCACGAACCTTATCTCCACCTTTTCATGCTTCTGCCTTTCGGTATTTCGATTCATTCAGGGAAAATAATCAAACAGAGAAACATAAATTGAAAAGGACACTGCTAAAAAAATATGGTTTTAATAGTAATAGATACTAATCTTTATCATAGATCACAATCAAGATATATTGAAAAAAAATTCCATTTTATAAAGAATATTGTAAAAGGAACAGGATCAGACAGATGAAAAAGGGAAAAGAGCATTTTCCACGTTTGGTATATATGAATTAAAAAGGGAAGAGCAGATTAGAACTGAGTCCACAAAATTGCATTCTATCCGTATCGGTAAACAATGTCTGAGAAGAGGTTGATTATAAAAATTAACAGACTAAACTATTTTTAATTTTTTTTATATTTTAACTTTTTATTAAGATATCTTTATCATTTTATGTATATTTTTTTCTTCTTCATATTATATATGATTTTAAACAGATTTCCAAAGAAAACATAATTATTATGGGAAGGATAAATAGAACACATGCATAATATACCTTTCTTTGTTTGAACGAGTGCATTAGAAGAAAACTTTTCAAAGTGGTTATATGTTACTATTAACCTATATGAAAAAGAGAAGAAAGTTTTTAATACAAGAAAAAGAACATTTTTATTTATTTAATTTTTTTATTTGACATTGTATATATTTTTTTTCACACAACCAAAGAAGAAAAATTTTAGCTTTCTTTTCTTTGATTTTTCTTAAAAAATATTATTCCAATGAACAGTTTGTTTTTTGGTCATACTGTAAAGAATCAATATTCTCTAAAATGGAATAGTCAGAGAACAAAAATAGAAATAAAAAAAAAGTAGAGGAATAATGATAATAGTGATTATTGAAAATGATAATTTTCATCTGCAAATATAAAATCTGCAAACTACTTAAAAAAGTTTAAAAAAATATTTTATTACCGACTTACTTTCTATTTCATTGTTGTTCTTTTCTCTTTCTTTCATAAACTGAACCTATCTTCAAAGACTTTGTCAAATTTATTTTGTTGGTTCCTATCTAAGACTAGTTTGACATCAGCTGCATACTGACCGGAAGAATTTCAACTACATACTATAAGTGAAAAGGAAAGACTAAACGAAAGTTATAATAAGTCAAGAAAAAGAAAGTTGAATCCTCAAACAACAGAAAAAGAGACAACGTCAGAATCTAACGAGACCAATTCTCATGCAGACCGAATATTATCTTTTGAGATTATTAACACAATTATTAATAATAAGAGAAATTCAGAGAATCTATGCTTGTGCTTCCGATATACCATTCACCGAGACATGCCACTTGCAAAACGGTGCTTACAGATGCGTGCTTAAATTACTATATCCCAGGTCATGTTCAAGAACTTCAATATCAAACTCTTACGACCAGGAAACCAACAATCCATTAGAAATAAACAGTCACTATATTGAAACGTCAGTTTCGTCCAACATACAAAATAGTTCTAATATCTGGTGCTTGTACTCGTTAATGCTAGAAAACATCACCAAACTGATATGTTAGCTCTGCTTATTTGGAAATCGCATGTCTTCTCCATTTTTCGAAACGTGCTTGTACTCATCCTCAGTGATCACTCCACAATAGGTTCTCGGTTTCCCAAGCTTGTTGGAACTACTTTACATATGGGCATGTTTTCATTCTTACTGAGAAGCTTCAAGGATGGATGGACCTCAATGTCACGCATGAATATTCTATCTTCAATATCTAGATTGCTCACATCCACAACAATTTTTGAAGGAATGTGCTCAGATGGGCCAAGATATTTTAGACTAGGTCTGATTTTGTTCAAAATTCCTCCTGTAATAGCATAAAAGTGTCAACCATGTTAGCATTATGACATTAGAACCACAACAATTCGTACTGATATTAAATTGGACAAAATTGGCAACCGCCCCTTGCCACCATCCAAAAATAATGATATACAGAGCATTTGGCCTGAACTAAGAAAGTTCATGTCAGAAGTAAGACAGCGGCGTATTTAACAAAACATGGAATGTAAGTCAATTGACCAAACATAACAGCAGTCTTCCCAGGGCATAACGAGCAAAAGTCATCAACTATTGAAAGCTGGAAGGCTGAACACTGATCTTCAATATATACTCACAAAAAGATGTAATGTAATTAATAACATGTTATAGTCACCTATTCTTCCTCCACTTTGTTCCTTGTTTTCTAAAGTGGAATTAATTTTCAGGAAATAATGACCATTCAAAGAAGAAACAGTAAATGCAGATGAAACAGTGCAATAGCAATCACGTAACTTCTGGCCTTTTACTTTTCTCAGTCCACAACAGGCAAAACAGGAGAGCATGAGATCAAAAGAAAATACTTAAACATACACATACTTTCAACTACAATGTTCGCAAAGAAAGAAATGCCCAAAACAACAAGCAATAATATATATATATATATATATATATATATATATATATATATATATATATTCTCTATATATAAGAGACTATA